AGAGAGAGAGAGAGAGAGAGAGAGAGAGAGAGAGAGAGAGAAACACACACATACAAATAATTTTTTAATCTTAAAAATTATCCATTATGTGTTCAGTTCCTTTCTGAGAATGAGTTTGAGTACACCCATAATCGAGGTTTAAAAAGAAGCTGCTGCCAGCTTCGTGTATTTCCTGTGTTTGACTGCTTTATCAATATGAACTCATCCAACTCTATGAAGCTGATATTCTTATCCCCACTTTACACACTAGCAGAAAGTATAGAAAGACCAAGAAAGTCCTCAATGGATAGACATTCTTGAACCCTAACTTTATACTTCATTACAGGAATGAATGAAGATTTCTGGACTCTTTGCAGTTTTATTAAATAGTATCTATCTTCAGTAACACAGGCTATGGTTTTTCAAAATTTCACGATAAAAGCTTCCTTTTTCTTCTTTTGATCCCTTTTGTATGTTGTAGCCTAATGTCACTTGATGTCTCATATTAAGACATTTTGCCCACTGGGTTTTCTCTAGGACCACTAAATTTGATAATATCATTATTGACGATAGGATAAGACCCAGCATTACTGCTTACTGGGAGCCTCCCCACAATTGGGAAATACTGAAAAAGACAGCTAAATGTAGGAAATGGCAAAGTTGAGTTTCAGAAAGTACCATGCCACTGTTTAAATATATATAATAGTTTTCTTTTCCTTCAAAGTCTTCATTAAAAACAAATTCAGAGCACTAAAGTTTTCTAGCACTACTATAACTTGGTATCTTTTAAACACAATCAGTATATGACTAAGCATTAGAGGAGTAGAAAAGAAATAAGAATATATAAATACTAAGGCTGAGGAGATGGCTCAGTCAGAAAGTGCTTGACTTGCAAGCACAAGGACCTGGGTTCAATCTCCAGAACACCCACCCCCATGCAGGTGTGGTGGCACAAACCTACAATCATAGGACTGGGTAAATGGAGATAGGCAGATCCCTGGGACCTGGTGGCCAGCTAGGCTAGCCTTCTAGTTAAATTCCAGGTTAGTGAGAGATCCTGTCTCAATAAAACAAGGAGATGGCTTCCTAAAGCTGGTAGGCAGAAGTTGTTCTCTGGTCTCTGCACACAGCTGCACACACACACACACACACACACACACACACACACACACACCTGCAAACACACCCCACTAAAAATTAGAAAGATATATAGGTTAATTTGGGGAGTCCTGATTTTTTTGTCTAACAAAACTTTTCTTCTTCCTGGATAGCACCACCAACTTTGGGAAACAAGATCTCAGCTGGCTTAATGACTGGAGGGGTGGCAGTATTCATCGGGCAACCCACAGAGGTCGTGAAAGTCAGACTCCAAGCACAGAGCCACCTACATGGGATCAAGCCCCGCTACACTGGGACCTACAATGCTTACAGAATTATAGCAACAACAGAAAGCTTCTTCACCCTCTGGAAAGGTAACTAACTTCTGGGCAGAGTTTTTAATAATTAAAACATATATATCCCATGAGCACCTTATCATAAACTAGTCATTAAACATCGTCTTTTATTTTTCTACAGGGACTACCCCTAATCTAATGAGAAATATCATCATCAATTGTACAGAGCTAGTAACATATGACCTCATAAAGGGAGCCCTTGTGAACAACCAAATACTAGCAGGTAACATCCTATTTCAACTAGAAATCATGTCTGCACTTTCACAAACTCCTCCTGGAGCTTCTGCAGACACAGTATACTGGATCCCTTAATCTTTTAAAAAATTAAACCCCACTAGGGGTCCTCTTCCTCCCTGTTAGGATCTTCCTCTTCCTCCCCCTTCGTCTCCTCCTCCTCCTCCTCCTCCTCCTCCCCCTTCTTTGACACGGTCTCACTACGCATCCCTGGATGACCTGGAACTCACAGAGCTCCACCTGCCTCTGACTTCTGAGAGCTAGCATTAAAGGCATTTGCCACCATGCCCAGCAAATGTAATCTTTTGAAAAGCAGAAGAGATCTAGAGTTTAAAAGTAGCATTGCAACACATTTTTTGTGTTTTGCTACATAGAAATGCATTGGGACCTTTAGTACTAAGACACAACTATCTGCTACAATCTTAGTGTCCTTACAGCAGAACTCAGCAGGTATCCAAGAGATACTCACATACAGAGCTCATCATTCACTTTATTCAAATAATATTCTAGAATTTTAGACATACCCAAATCCTCCTTTGACAACTTTTTAAATTCAATTAAATAATTTTAGGTTCTATGTATCAGGCATTATGCCAGGTCCCAAGGGCACAGAGAAATCAGAGAGTAGTATTGTAAAATAATAAATCTGCAAGTGGATTGGCAAGCCATTAAGTTATGTACTACTGGCCACATTTTTCTAGCACAAGTATGTCCTTGCTTATTATATTTATCTCTCTCTATAATATATACACATTAACCTCTGGTTACCAACAGGTTTACAAGTATCTGACTGATGGTAAAACTACAAGTGCCCCAAAGTCTGGTGTTGACCTATTTCCCTGATCACTTTCAGATGATGTCCCATGCCATTTACTGTCAGCTCTCATTGCTGGGTTTTGCACAACACTCCTGGCCTCTCCAGTGGATGTGGTAAAAACAAGATTCATCAATTCTGTACCAGGACAGTACACAAGTGTGCCCAGCTGTGCAATGACAATGTTCACTAAGGAAGGACCTAAGGCTTTTTTCAAAGGGTAGGATATGACCTTCTGTGGCTATAAAATTGTGTTTAGGGTGCCTATGTGTTTTGAGATACAGTTTCAGTTAAACATTTGGCATTTAGCTTACCAACCTTGAACTTTACCATACACAATGAACTTACCAGCCCTGAACCTGACCATACACAATGAGCTTAAAATATATCTTTGCCTTGCCTTGAATGTCTCCAATCCAATTCCACAAAACTATAAAATAAAAAGCTAATTAGTTATTCTTGGCAGCGATGGGAGGAAAATACAGGGCCTTGAACATTCTAGGCAAGCACCCGTATCACTGAGCTATGCCCTCATCCCAATTTTCAAATTTTCTATTAAAGCAGAGTCATTGCTACTGATCACTGGGGTTTTGTTGTTTTGAGGCAGCACAGGACACTTAGAGAAAACATGATTGCCAATAGAGGGAAGATTTTATTTTCCTTTAGAAGAGTGCAATGTGAGGAGCATAAGTTCCCATTTCATCAAAACCTAAAGACTTAGCTTCAAACAGCTAACAGAATGTATCATGTACTTTTTCTAGGTTTGTGCCTTCTTTCCTGCGACTTGGGTCCTGGAACGTCATCATGTTTGTGTGCTTTGAACAGCTGAAAAAAGAATTGATGAAGTCAAGGCAGACTGTGGACTGCACCACATAATCAGCCTCAGGGAATTGGTGTGGCATACCAGCGGGATCCTCTGCTGGGAGACGATTAATAAAACCAACCAAACCAACTAAACAACTCTGTTCATTTTATTTACCTTAAAAAGATGAATTCTGGTAGCAAGTTTGAACTTTACTGTTCTTAAAAAAGATTAGATGAATACTCAGGCTTAATTTTCCTTCTCTCTGACTTAAGAAGGGAAAGAATAACATTCAGTACATATAGTGGCAAAATAATGCTCATATCTTTTACTGATCATTTGAGGGATGGGATTGTATGACTGAGTATGAAGAACTTCAATTATAACTCAAACTAATGGGAAAAGAAGCTTAAGGCAAAGGCATTTTATATTTATAAATACTGAAAATGAAGTTATCAAAGAAAATATTACTGTTTCTTTTTATTTATTAACCACAGTTACAGGTACTATATTCAATAAAGTATTGCTAATACCTTCCAGAATTTGTCTTTTGGGATCTATACCTGGACTTAAAAGTGGGGGTTCAGCTAAAATACAAAATTGTCCACTATCAAAGGAAGTTATTTAGAATCAATAGGCACAAACTGACTCAGTTAATATAGAAGTTTAGAGTCCATATTTTACAGCCTCTGTAACAACTTGTAACTGAAGATGCCATATTCATTTCAGCATTTTTGATGTTATTGTTGGTTAATCGTCATTGTATCTTTCCCAAAATACAAAGTTGATCCATAGCAATGTAGTATGCTTTGTTATCACTACAAGCTGGGTTCAGGGGAGATGAAAGAGGATCCTGGAGATTCAAACCAAAAACAAGGACCAGCAAGCCCACAGGCAGTTAGGCATCCTCCTGTTCCTGCTTTATCCAGCTTCTCATTAAATATTATTGTAGCTTCCCTCCTTTACTTCATGCTTATTGTATTGGTCTGTTTTGTGATAAAATCATGGCTAGACAAGGAGATGGTCTTCAAATGGTCTTTGGCAGCTTCTGGGTCATTCAGTGTTTGACAGCAGGAAGTAGCAGCCTCAGAAAGGTGGGAGCAACATCAGGTGGTGCCCTTCCATGTGACTGTCCTAGGGCAGCCTTCACATCAGGACCCTTAGTTCTGCAGGCGTTATGGTTCTTCTGTAGGCCTAGGAAGTTGGGTTATTTTTTCAGCCTGTGGCGGTAGCTGCTGTTAAAGTTTTCAGGCACACCTGGCTATCAGAATTCCCCAGCCCTTGACAGAAGCCAGTGTTACAGTTTTTGTGTAGGTCTAGGAAGATGGGATTTCTCAGCCTAATTTAACATTGGTGAATGTTACAGCTCTTGGCACTGAGACACCAGGCCCTTAGCTTGGTCTGCCAGCTAGTCAGCTGTCACTGTCAATCTGCTGTCTCTGCTGCTTCTTGTGTTACCAACTCAGGGTAACTAAAAGCAGCCAAGATAAGGCCACTTGGGAGAAACCTTTCATTGGGCCTAATGCTGCAACACCAAAGGAGACGACAGCACAGGAGACCATCTCACAGTCGCATCAGTTAGCACACTCAAGAAACCTGCTTATACGGCCAGAGAAGAGGGGTTTACCCCGACATACAGCACGTCTTACAGGCAAGAGGAGGTTTGCATCGATCACAGCCTCGCCTCTTTAGCACCAATCACAGGAAACCCTCTGTTTCACCAAATTTTTTCCTTTTTCCTCCCTTCTTGGGTGACCTGTGCCCTTTGAGGCCCCAGGGCTAACAAACCGACATAGGACGGCCTATTTGAATTTTGCATAGTTTATATGACATTTGGGAGGGAGCGACTTACAAAAAACATGGATGGTTATAGGCTTTTCCTTTCCCATATTTGAAATTCACGCCTAGGTGCTCCAATATGGCAATGGCAATGGCTCCACCCCCTAATGGCTTGACTTACAAAGAAATGGCTTCTCATAACCCATGGCCATTCAAGCCCCGCCCATAATCTCCATCAGCTTTCATGGTGCCTCATCTCACCCTTGGGAGCCCAGGAGAGAGACAGGATGCCCTGCTGTTCTCAGCTCCCAGGCAGTATGCTTCCCTCCTGGAGTTCCAAATATGGCCGTGGCCCTGCCCCTTTCCCCAGGGTGCCCCATGTAGCCCACTCTTTTCAGAGGGATGAGTAATTTTCAGGCTACACCCTCTGACAGGTCACCAGGGGAAGTACTTCTCCTTTGCCTTAGGAAGAAATGGTGGCAGGGTTATGAGGTTTGTGATAGCAAACTGTCTGGCACAAAATGTTTGAACAGTCCTGGCTGAGGCTGTGTCTTCAGGAGCTGGGGCAATCAGTGTCTCTCCTTGTGTAGTTTTCTTAAGACATTAATGGAGTTTTCAAAATTGCTGCTGCTGATATAAGGGTAGTTCAGCTGTCTGTCTCTGACGGTCCTATCAAAGCAGTCAGGGCAGCAAAGGAGAGTCCAAAACTGGTGCTAATGAGGGAGTTAAATTGCCCCATTCCCAACATCTGTGCTTATTTACAGGAAAATGACCACCAGACAGTATGTTTACAATAAAGACTTGAAGAACTTAATATTTACACTAACAGTGATGTTTTTCTTTTCTTTTCTTTTCTTTTCTTTTCTTTTTTTGGTCTTTTTGAGACAGGCTCTCCCTGTAGCACCAGCTGTCCTGGAACTCACTATGTAGACCAGGCTGGCCTTGAACTTACAGAGATCTGCCTGTCTCTGCCACCTTAGAGTATCACATCTCTTTCAAGAATAAGGAAGAAAACACAGCTTCATTTCCTTGTTTGCATCCTGGTTCTCCCAATGGCAGTAGCAGACAAAGGGAAGATACCAAACCTTTGGGCACAAACGAATCAATTGGAAAATATTTGATTGTCCGCCAGTGTGTGATAAAACAAAGCTTAGGCCCTGCGTTTGCACTGAAGGAGATCAAGGGCGTCCTATCGGAGGGTACCCAGCAGCTTACTGCATGTCCAGAGAAGAGTGCCTACTGGAGTCTAAGGGCCCCAATCAGTGATTCTTCTTTTTCACACAAATCAATAGTAATGGTTGCAGCCTGACTCTTCATGTTGAACCAGGTAAGGTTCAGAACTCTCTTGCTTAGAAATCATATTAGCTTGCTTTTGTCTTCAAGTTTTAGTGAGAATATTTTTATTGTGCTTAAAAAATATGCTTAAAAATACACAAAACAAATGAATAGCTTAATAAATTATCACAAACAACTGGTTAACCCTAGTGACACTCAAGAAACAAAAAGTTGCAAGTATCCAGCCCACCTCCATCCCCATGAGCACCACTCATAACCATCCTGACTTCCCATTTGTGGCAAATGTTCAATTTTTTAAAAAAATGTGAACTCACCATTCGCCCCTCAGTTGTCTTAGTTTTTGAAGTTTACATAAACTGAACCATCTGTTTTACATATGGCATCTCTAGGCCAATATTATAGTGTTCACTAATGCAATTCATATAGCTGAAGTTCATACATAATCAGCACTCACCAGTATGCTATTGTTCAAATATGTAAGAAATGACCCATGTTTGATAGGCATTTCAGCTATTCCTTTCAGGTTATAATTCTGATATGATTCTTATGTGTATTCATTTCTTATTTTATGCTGTACCAAATTATCATAAATCAAGTGGTTTAAACCAATACAAATTTATTCATTTTTTAAAATTTTATTTTTTATTGAATTTTTGCTATTTTCATACAATATAGGTAGATGGTATTTAGATTCCCTCCCATAACTGAAACTTCCTTCACTGTCCCCCACCCAATTAATATACTTTCATATATATAACATGGTCTATAGAATCTGATTTGTCCCCACCTTGTTCTAAACATGCACCCTCATATTTACAGACAAGTGTGCCTTTCACCCCTCTTCAAAGAAGGTTCATTTTTGCAACAGATGGAGACATTCCAGAGTTCCAGAGCCAGTCAAATGCAGAGAATGAATTTCAACAAGACAAAATACAAATTTATTATCTTAAGTGTTCTGGCAGTCACAAGTGCATTCACAGAGGTGTGCTCCTCCAATTTGCCCACCTCCTCCAATTTTCTCTTCTACCATTTAATGTAACACATGTACATGATCATCCATGGAGATATATATATGCACAAAATGCGTATTTATCTTTATAGTACTACATGGGTCAAGTTTTTTCCAGATGTGAAAGGCTGAATTTTTAAAACATTTTATTTTCTTGAGAAATTCAGAGTATTTTGATCACATTCCCCCTCAGCTCCTTCCACCTATACCCCCACCTCCCTCCCCACCCAGTAAGTCCAGTAAGTGTTGCCCAAACACTCTTGGGTGTGGACCCTGCCCTGGATTGTGGTAGATCTATGGGGATCACACCATTAAACTTACTCTCCCTCTCCTAGCAGTTATCAGATGCCAATAGCTCCTCAGTTAGGGGTGGGGTTCGTGCCCACCTCCCCCCTCTATCGTGGAATTTTTGTCTGACTTGCACTAGAGCAGATCTTATTCGTGTTGTCACAATTGCGTTAAACTCCTATGTGCAACTGCCCTATTTGGAAACCCTGTTTCTTTATAGTTGCCCATCACCTCTGGCACCTCTCCTTTGAAGTTCTCTGAGCCTTGGGGTAAGGGTGTGATACTAATGTTCCATTTAGGGATGAACACTCTGCAATCTCTTATTCTCTGCCCATTGGCAGTTGTATGTATTAATTGCCTTGTATTGCAAGAAGCAGCTTCTCTGATGAGGGCTGAGAAATGTCAGGGCTGAGAGGTCTTCATATTAAGCGGAATGTCACTGTGTGAAGCTGGGGATTGATTCCCTAGTGGCATTCCACCTGAAGGTGGAGAGAAATGAGAAACTGAGATACTATCTCAGTCAGCTGTGTTCAAGGCTGTGCTCCTGAGTGTGCCGTTTCCCCGGTTCTCAGGTGCCATGCACAGATAGGAAAATTGGTTCTGGGAGCCAGAGCACCCTTTTAAAAAGGGGAGATGTTTACATGACCATAAAAAGTTGGACCAGAACATACCAAAATAGTAAGAGCTGGACAGTGTGTGTGGAAGGACCACTGAAAACATCCACAGAATTCTGCAGGTAATTGATGGGGAAGATAGGAGCTGGGCTTTGGGTCT